CTTGTAATATTGTAGTTAAAGTTTTATTCATATACACATGTGATTATTCATAAACAACTTGTGTGAACAGCAAGCGGCCATTGAATTTCCACAGTGAACCCGCATCAGAATGAGAAGAAAAGCTCGACTGCAAGCTATCGCAAATGTTGAGGCATTCAGTCAGCCCATGTAGGGATTATACCGATAGCAACTGGTGGAACTGTCGAAACTGCTATCTGAGCCGCCACTGTAGTCATACGGTAACGGCTGAGGATAAGCAGGACCGGCTGTCGGCGATGAGTGACTCATTGCTCCTGGGGATGAGGGAACCAGAAGGAGACGAGGTTGGACCTGAAAATAATTTCATAACTTTCACGAGAAACGTTGGATCAATCACTGTGATCTCGAGGAACTCTCTCTATTCCTCGCTTACTGTCATCGCTGGAACAGTTCTACATGTTTATCTCCGATGGCACTCTGTTACGCTAATTTGATGAAATTTCACCGGGCAAGACCACTCATGCCTGTGATTCATAGTGAAGGGAAAGTGAACGAGGTGGAGGGCCGGAACACCCAATCTCAGGATGAGGAAGTACGACCTTGTATGTGAATAAAATCAACCGTATCCATTGATACAGCTGCACTTACTGCTACTGTGACAAAACTATCTAACTATAAACTGCGAAAGGGAAATTGGCTACTGCATTTTTTGTCATCCATATGCCCGTTAGAGTTCTTCCTTGGTCATCCTAAACAGCAAAGAGCTAAAGGTACTGAAAGGAAAATAACCATAAAGTAATTAGCAAACATTGTGGGGAAAGAAGTGGACAAACACACGTACCAGCCTGATCCGTTGTATGAATTTGAGCTGTGAACACCACATAATTTTTTAATTTCACAACATTAAAGTGGAAGGAGAAGAAGCATTTTGAGCATATTTCTCTATAAGACTTGAGAAAAAGGATGCAGTGCCAAGAAAACAGTCAGGAACATTCACAAATCATAAGGGATGGTACGATAACTTCTAGAAACAGTGCAAGCGGTGTTTCTAGAAGTTCTGTTTTGAGCGTACAGCCTTAGAGATGAGGCTGGTACTGGAATGCTTTGAGTAAATGTATCTATCGAGAAATTGAGAACCCGGATTTCGAGCAATCGGCTTTTCTTCTTGTTCCTCCACTCCTTTATAGAATACGCGTCGTTTGGGAGCCGCAACCAAGGCTTCTCCAGTCCTTGTTTTCGCGCCGTAGAGCAATCGATGGCTCCGCAAATGTTATGCGGGATTGGAAATGGCAACCCGAACTCCGGATTTCATAATCAACGAATACTGCACGGTCCGGTTGCAGCTTACTTCTAAGCTTGGGGAATCATCTGAAGGAAAAATATTCTGTAGACGAGGTCAGAGCGGTAGTAGAAAGTTGCTCTTCAAACCAATTACATAGTCTGGTAACGTATTAGATTGTTCATATTTTCGAGAGAAACCCTGCGACAAAGAGACAAAGAGAGCTATGCATTAGTTGGGGTGTGCCGTGTGCGCCTCTGAGCTGAACCGGTAATTTATAAGGTTCTGAAGAAACCACACCTGTAAGAAGGTTGGCAAGCATATTTGTAGTAGTCTGACTCAGGCCAATGGACAGCTGGTGAGCGTATTCGAGTGGACTAGGTTGACGTCCTGTCTCAAGAATTCGCTGAGTGCCAAGATATAGTTCCTGAAAGGTTTCATTCACATAAAAGGTACATTGACTTGTGAAGAAATAGGGAGGCAATGTCGGCTCACCTTGCCAGCCTGAGCGTTTCAATTTTGCTGAGCTTCTGGTGCTGCGTTGTGATGGGGACGTACTGAAAATACAACGCTTCACATATCCAGACTTTAAGCTTGTAAACAAAATAAAGAGGAGAAACACCAGAGAATAACAACTTTGTTCAAATAAAAGATTGCAAGTAATTAAGTTTTATAAAGACGGAATAATGCATGGAATAGTCGTTCTAAGTTGAATATCCCACGTCAAATAATCACCTGTCAAATAAGTAAAAATAAATAAAGGGGTGAGTGCGTAAATAAGTAAACAACAGCTGCCACACCTGTCTAAGCACGTCGAGCGCATCGTTCAATCCATGCATACGTTGACGTTCACGACCGTTCGCCTTCAGACGACGCTGTTTCTTCTTTATCGGCTCGTCCGTCATGAAGGAGATTGTTTCGATAAATCTGGATGAATAGCGACTGCCACCGGCGGGGCAGCACCGGTTGGTTCGGCGCTTTTTATACGGTCATCGCGTGGTCAGAGGCCACGCCTCTCTCGGGTTACCGTAGAGTGATGACTCTTGGTTGCTCCGCCTGCCAATAGCTTTTAGCGCATCGATGCGCGCAGCTAAAATTCATGGCGGTTACTGTAGGAGAAAGCAGCAAAGGGAAACCTGCCTCTCCGTTGAAGAAATTCTTTACAAGTAGAGAAAGAACTTATTTATTTATTTATTTTCTGGACGCAGTGTGACTGCGTGAGATTCAACAGTACCACAAAGAAAAGCCAAAACCACGGAAAGCACCGACTGGTGACGAGAACACATAAAGATACACAAAAATCAACATAATGTAAATAGCTATGATAAAATGATAAAAACTAGCCTGAACGATCAATCGCTGTATCAAGAAACCTCTGCATTGGCCGCCTTAACTGCTTTACTTCGGAACGACCCGAGGGAACAGCGCAACGTATCCTCATCAAAGAATTACTGGTGTTCTAACTCGTGGTTCACGTTTCCGTATCATTACTTATCATTTTGGATGGGCTACTTCTTTTGGAATTTTGCAAATCTATTCTCCCTTTGAATTTGAGCAATATCCTCATCATTTATGCGAAGGCCGTAGCCGACAGTCTTTGAGGTGGCCGCACCTTTGTACGAGGCAATTTCAATTGTGCCATGTCTCGAAGCGCGGTGATTTATCGACATCCCGGAGAGGTCTATTTTCCGACGATCAGGAAAGATATAGAACACTTGCTTGTTTACATGAAAAAGGTGCTTTCCAATGCGACAGATCCGTACTCCGAACATTAATCTGCACAAGGAAAATACTAAATTTCGCGATTGATTTATATCTTCTGCGCGAACTGAGCGTTTTTTAGGGGAGAGTTTGTTCCATTTCAACGATTTCGCAGGAATTGCTCTCCTTCAACTAAGTCCGTTCTACCATGAGCAGGACAAGCCGCAAATTCTAGTCAGTTGTGGTAATAAACTCAAACTAACCCGGAAGATTTGATTAAGTCTCCACCCGTAGAAACGTGCGTTGGCAAAGAAATACTGATTAATCGGAGCGAGGTTTGAGAAAAGAAAGTTGGTATGCGTGACCCAAAATTGTTTCTGAAAGAGAACTGTGTGTACTTCCATCACAACTCATGATAGCATAGAAGTTAGAATTTAGCACCTATTTACAACTAAAGATAGCCCCTAAATCTCTGAAACAAAGGTAAACAGGCAAATGGAAGAACGAGTATCTCGGTTTGTTGAGACAGTCTGTAAAGGAACTGATTGCCTGAGAAAACTCTCAAATGGGTACCGCAATGCACAGATATTTTTCCGCTACCGTAGCCGTAGTGTTTTGTTCATGATTGCGTAAGTGGTCGTTGCTGTTGCGTCACTAACAACAGTGCATGTTGAGGGGACGAGTATTCTCGTCACGTTGAAAGCTACGCGCTTTTCTTGGAGTCCAGTTTTCAGTAAGATGTGATCTGAGAGCTGATTATATTCCAGATCAATTCCGTTGATATTTCACTTCTGAGTTTCTATTGCTGGTTTTTTTGGAAGACAACCCAGGCAGATGTCGTTGCGACTGATCCGTTCGCTTGGAGGATGATCTTAGAAGAGAATTACGGTGGCATTTCAGTGCATGGAAGTCACCCAACAAGAGCGCTTGGGCCTCGTAGAGTGAGCTACAAATTTTCGCAACAGATGAAGGGCGTCACCTCTTGCCCACTTCTTCGCCCTTTGTTAGTCTCTCATTGCCTTAGCACCGCCGATTACGAAGGTGAGTGAGCGCTCAACTTAGCTTTCTCGACAGATTCTTTCCCCTCTTCTTTTCTGTAGGCACATCGGACCAATATATTCGCTTTTGTGTGTAAGAACTACACCATTTTTATCCTGGGGCGTGCCTCCAAAGAAGGCGGTCGCGCTGGCTCAGAGGTGGATAAGGGTCCTCTCGTCATTGACAGAAGCGTCGAGGTTAAGAACTAAGAGGAGAGAGTTATGGTACGAGCGTAACCCCATGTACGATACAGTAAGTTAATAAGCATGAGCGGAGGCCGACAAAAATGACCCCGAGCAATGGAAAGCTCGCTGCCTTTGTTGGATCGCGAACCGGGATTTTTGATTCGCGTTGACCGTTGGCGGTTAGAGGCAGCGCACCTGACCTGCACGCATTTTCAAGCCTTCAGGATGCCTTACTTTTGAATTGAGGCAACTTTTCTTTAACTTAAATTTCGCTCTAGTTGATGAGAAATTTTTAATGCCGATGTTTTAATAAACTTTCGAGCGGTACGCCTGATGCGTTCTTCAATTTCTATTTTTTTTTTTTTGTTTCTATGTATTGTACATTGCGACCTTCGGAATGGGGCTTGTTTCCTAGCAAGAATATATGAGTCTCAGATTCCATTTTTCTTAAACACTGAAATAAGTCAGTAATCGCAAGCTAGGAGCTCTTGGAATAGTTGTCGTTCACTAAACTCAGTAATGCTGCTTACTAGATTATGCGCAACAATGTTTAAATAGGGGTTACAGCTTGGTTGGTAACGGTAACCTTGAGAGTGGCAGGAACCAACTGTCGCCAGCCAGCAGAAATGGCACTTTGGATGCTGCTTCTGACCCACTCGTCAGCCTGTAATGATGCTCGCAATGAGAATGACCTTAAGTGTTAATTGCCAGTTGGTGTGGATGGTCGATAATCAGGGAGTATGCATAATTGATCACTCAAAAATCGTCAATCGCGTCGAGAACAATGCTCGAGTGCTGGTGCGAACAAGTGGTCCCTCAAATCCGCTCAACAAAACAGTCGAGTACTAAGCTGCCCCCACTCAATGAGGTGGTTGGTTGTGACCCGTACTCTGCGGGTTCATACACAAGTTCTTCTCTAGAGAGAAGCCACGCACTCGACTTTCATCAAAAATCTCAGTGCATACTTTTAATATGCTTCGGCTCTAGCAAGGATCTGCAGGGATCAGCCGTTTGCACTTCAGAGGTTGGACCGCTTCGGACGGGTGCCACTAACTAGAAGAACTTGAAAGGGTCGAAGGCATGCAAGGGGTGTGGCTAGGACAAAAGCCGGGATTAGATAGGTCGGCAACGCTTGTGGTAACGATATCAGCTGCCACTGATTCAACTCCACCTATTCTCTTTCAATAGTTCAAGATGAGATCACCCCTTCTGAAAAAAAATATAGAGACATACGTTGAATAACGAAAAATTCCAAACTTCAATACAACACTTCCCAGATTGACCATGAAAAGCTGAGTTGGGATGAAATGGTGCCCCGGTAGCGTAACTGGTAGCGCACTTGCCCGGAAAGCGAGAGGTGCGGGTTCTAGTCCCGCCTGGGGCGAAAGTTTTGTTCACAACCCAGCATTCTTGTGAAACATTCGCAAGGCGAACTGCGGCCAAAAACAGCAGTTAACAAACAAAAACTTACCAGACTCTTTCTCGTAGCTTCTACCAATACATTTAGCTCAAACCTCCAAGAAAGGCCATTAGTGCAACTCCTAAGTGAGACGCAAGTATTCCAAAGGACAGCGGACGAAATCGCGCTAGATGGTATCTCAGAGCATTGTGATCCTTCCTTTGTCTTTTGTAATCGAGGCTAATGTTGCAGGCTCTCGGTTACCTTATGATGAACCGAAAGCAATTTTCTAAAAGCGGGTCAGCGTTTGTTAGTGTCCGAGCTCTAGCCAGAAAATTTCGGCCTTTGTTCTTGCACCCCTGTAAAAGTGCATGGCTTTGTCGACAAGGCTCAACACTATGTTTCAAATAATAGTCCTCCATCGCCAGCAGTAGTTCCTTCATCCTCCACTGCCCGATTTCCCTTGAAGGTACTTCTCAATTGTTTGATACAAGGTAAGACATAGCCAGTCATTTTGCCCCTCAGAAATTTCAAGAGTTTTCGTTACTTAAATTATGATTAGAAGACCTTTTGTCGCGTGAGGTTCATTTCACGAAGGCATAATAAGAAACGGAGATTGTCAATTTCGGGGTTTCGAGGGGCAATAACTCATGAATGAGTCATTTGTGCACTCACACATGTTGCATTTCCACTTTTACGACCGTCGATTGACCGCATTTGGCGACGACCATACGATGACGGCGGAAGGAGCGCCTTGAGAGGGAAACCAGAGGAACAAGGATTACGCAGGAACAGGGTTCAATGTTTGGCAGAAGATACAGTAGCGGTCAAAAGTGTTCGCCGAAACGATTTTTCGTGCATTATTTTTTCTCGCTTGAGCAACGCCCTCCAAAGATTGATATACTATGTTTTCTAGTGTTTTTATATCCTCAAGTTTCAAAGAATCAGGATATTCAAAAGAAAAAATTTTCGAGGATCACCATTGATTTTTTCTGGCAAAAAAAAGAGAAGCACGAAAAACCGTTTCGGCGAACACTTTTGACCGCTACTGTATCATGGCAAAAGTACTCGTCCTAGTGCGTTCTTGAGTAAAAAGAGTCACTTACTTTTCGAACTACCAGATGATGCATTTCTTCTTTCCAACCTGTGTGCACAAGCTTTGCTATCTTCGAAGGAGGCTATGTATGATAGCCTTGTGAATTACAGCTGACAAGGGAGGGACGGTAGGTCGGGGTAGTCGTTTGAAATTAGATAAGTACTAGTTGATGCATCTCCACGCGTTGATTTCGAATATGCATTACGTTTCTGCTAAACGCTGACAGCAAGAATTAAGTTTTTTTTTTACGGTTTGGAGAGGTGGTGTAACGTTTAGAAAGGCGGATTTGCGGGAGCGTCGTTAGAGGGTTGGATAGAACGCCAATTTTACTTTTTGATTTTTATAAAACGTTGCCAAGAAGTTGATTGTCACAAATTTTCTGTCTGTGCTCGGCTGTAGTTCAGTTTTTGATGAATTTCCCTTGAACTCCTCATTTGGCTATGAGGAACTGCATCCTTCTCAGCGCACTAACGAAATTAACTGTGT